GGTGTCTTCTGCTGCTTACAGAGACTATCAAAATATTAAACAAATATTACTAACAGATTAACCAAGCAACCTTGGTTTTTATGCCAGTCATGTGATTTGTGGTTTCTGATTGGTTTCTGTCAAAACCAATGTTTCTTGGCCAAAATAAGCTCAATTGTGGACCATTGTGGATGTTCAGTCAGAGGTCTGGCTATGCAAGACTTCTTAGGATCTGTGAAATTGTAAAATGTTGCACATTACCAGTTCAGGTCAGTAGTTAGTCGATCATATACAGTACTGTGATGCTTTAATTGTGTGATAAGTATTTGGCCTTGAGTGTTTTGCACTTTTCACTGCTCATCAAGCATTCAGGAAATAGACATGTAGGTGTAAATAAATAATATGGATCAATGAGGAGAACTAGACATGTCTTGAGATATGTCTTTTCCTTTCAGTACGAAATGAACACATACACAAACGCACACACACACACAGAGGAAAATTAGGTGGACAGGTTCTTGTCTTTTTCTCTTAACAGAAAATTTTCACTCACGGACATCATCACACACATTTCATCCCTCTCAATTTTGAGTTCTTCTTTGAGCGGAGCTTCTTTAATAGAATTTGAAGGGTTATCGCCAGATTCATGCCGCTTTTTCTCATGTAATCATCTTTTCTGACAGTGCTATCATAAAACTCTTTTCTTTTTGTTTCTTTTTTTCTCCTTGAAATGATTTTTTCCTTGTGAAAGGCTGGAGACTAACCAGCCACACTTTCATTGTAATCTCTCGGTTTTCAACTACAAATGGGACTTTCTAGAGACCTTCACACTTCACACAAGCTATGGCTAGATGTCTTTTTGCTTAGCAGCATGTGTTGGTCAATCATTTTTGCATGTAAATGGCCTCATTGCTGAATTAAAAAATGTATTTACACATCAACAAAGTGAGAATATGTTTAATGAACATGACACACGCACAAGATATAGTGAGTTGATCAATACATTATTCTTTTATCACAAAGTAATATTCAACCTGTTAGTAATTGGAAATTGAAATGAGTTTAAATTGCCTCCAAAACATCAATAAGTGTTTGAAAGTCCTTGCTGGGGTAGTACATGGTTCTGCTGCTCTCAGCACACTTTGAATAGATGGACCTTTCAAAGATGATTTGTTAAGTCCTTTGTCCTAGCTCCTTCCTCTGAGCGCGTTTCTGCCTGACTGCAAGGCGTTCAATCATTAAACATCAATCAGGCTTTTGAAATGCATTCTTACTGCGAGTAAGAGCCACAGTGCCGCACTTCAGGGTTTCTGCAGTTTGCTTTACAAATGCATTAGCCAGGCGGTGTACATGCTCACTCATTCACTCATGGGACATTTACACGGGCCACTGGGTTCTTACGGTATTAGTCGTGTTCTCTTGGGTTCGAGCCGTCTAAGCAGAGGCAGGTCGTATGGACAGCAGGATTTCCTTGACTTTGTCTTTAGAACTCTATTGGGCCCTAAACATCTTGATGGTTTGCTTTTGGATTTTGATAGTAACTTGTATTTAGAAGTGGAGAAAGATTTAAAAAAAAAATCTGTCTGTCTGTCTTTATTATGTATTATTATGTCTTTATTAGATATTTGCATTGAATTTACAGTATTTTGATGATGTTTTTATATAATTAAATAATTTACATATACACTGACATTCAAAAGTGTGGGTTCATTAAGATTTTTTGTAATGTTTTTGAAAGAAGTTTCTTATGTTTATATATATATGATCTTACTAGCAGTCTAGCAGTTTTTAAGCTTTTTAAGTTCAGAAATTTTTATTTTTAAAAACATTATGTGCAGAGACTGTCAGTTTAAAGAAAATTAATCCAGATTACCAACTGTTATTGCCAACTATAATGCTGTGACTCTCATATTAGTAATCTACTAAACTATGGGATTTTGAAACAAATCTAATGATACAGTCTACTGGAAACTTAATTGTGTATGCAATCATCACACAGTTGTGTAATGTGGTTTTGTCGTTGCAGTTATTGTGAATATTCAACACAGGGTTTTAAAAATTTATTTTGGCAACCAAATGAAAACCACATTTCCAGGGCTTGCTTCTCAGAGACGACTGGAGCCTAATGCCCGAGAAACACAGCTTGTATTTCAAAGGTTGTGAACTATTAAGCTGACCAGTGCTACTCTATGAGCATTTTATTTTTCCTCTCCTCGTTCAAGGAGATATCGATCCGACTCTCATCAGAATTCACACCATGTTCTGGTCTTCAGACACTGTTTGTCACGTACAATAGCTGAGTGCTGAGTGCTAGCGCCGGCTGCATTCTCCGGGAACAGTCTTCGCGCGCCCAAATTAGCCTCTCCAATTATCTCACCCAAGCCAAGAGCTCTGAGGTCGCTGTTCCGATGGCTGTCCTTCTTCTCAAACAAAGCGCTGACTCTACCTGAAACCATGAATCATTTTCCTCCAAGCACACCAGCTTAGTAACAAATCTCTGTTTTCTTCAGCCAAAAGACCCTGACTTTTACTAGCTTTTAAAAGTGCTTACAATGTACACT